TGGAAGTTAATTTTGAGCAAAGAAGGCACAATTTTAGTATCTCCTTGTAGAGTACACTCTGGGTTGAAAATTCTTGAATACCTGAAATTGTTTCTTATCTACTTATAATAAGAGCTTACTAAGTCCTTGTGAGTTCATTGATTGGAACTATTACCTTAACCTGCCATCTCAGCCCAATGGCTATGAAATCAGGAATCCCATTAAGGAAGATATGGGAAGTAAAACACTGCTTGAATGTTTATATAACTCTAATATACTTGGTAGAGTTGATTTCCTCAAAAAAGTGGAATGAAGAGTGCTAACAATGATAATAATGGAATCTGTCCCTGGAATTTTATAACACATTGAGAAACAACGGAGATACTTCAGTCTGACCTGACAAGGGGAAAATGATCCTGATCAACAAAATTGTGTGAAATATGGCTGATTAAAAAATAAGGAGCCATATAGTAAAACAAACATAAGTGGTAGTCTTTGAAATTTGAGGGACAAATATAAAAAATATATATTTTTAAAAAGGAGACCTGGAAGGTTTAGTTTACTGGTGGAGCACTCACCTAGCATGTGTGAGGCTCTGGGTTCCAACCTCAGCACAATGAAAAATAAACAAACAAACAAATAAATAAATAAATAGAAAAGTCACTGCACATAGAGGGTGATACATTTTCAGAACTACATTTTGTAATTTTGTATGTAGGTTACATATAGTCAGTCATACACAGAGAACTGAGGATGGGAAGTGTTATCATGTAAAGTAATGCTGGCAGTTTTTGTTGTGGTGTATTTTTCAAAATGAATGATAATAGGACCTTCTCTGAGTGGATTTGTTCCTTTATTCCAAATAAGTTTATGCACCTTTGACTCATTGGCTTACATTATTGTTCAAAGATAGAATTTTAATATTTGTATGGGTTCAGCATGTCTTACACTGAACAGGAAGAGATCTTGGATCTACTAAGATGCTAAAAATTTTGCTAAGTTTGTTCCTGAGACACCTTCATGCCTGATTATTTATTGAAACAGAGAGCTCTAGCTTGTTCATAAATCATAACGCCTCACTAAGCGGTTACTTAGTGGCTTCCTTTGTGAACAGTCTATTCAGTGCCAGATCAGAAACTCTCAAATTGGATTCTTAGGGCATGAAGATTTGCTACTAGATGATGGAAGGGTGTCTTTTTTAAGATTCTTGTCCTGACTTCATTTCCATTTTTTTCCCCTTTTCTCATAGTTTTTCCTTTCCCTTCTTTCTTTTCCCCTTCCCCTCCCACCCCTCGTACTACCCCTTTGGACTTTTCTTCCTAGTAAATAGGGAAGGGCGGAGGGAGTGAAGGGCCCACAGGTAATGGGGAAAAAATAAGAACCAAGATATATCATGTACAGGTACAAGCACCCAATGATAAATGTAAACGTATTGTATACCTAAAAGGTACCAATAAAAGAACTTAAGAATAAAAAAAAAAGACTCTTGTCCTGAAGTGAACTTTGTACAGAAAATAAATGACTTGAGTACTGGTAAATTGATGTCACATCCACAAAATGTGCTGTTTGTATTGTTTGGCAAATCCATTTTAAAAAGCATTACAAACTTTATGACATCTAAAAATTGAGGCTCTGTAAAAGACTAAATGCAAGTATATGTTCAAGAGATTCTCTACTTCCTTGATACTCTATCCTTAATTAAGTTAATACTTGATATTGATGTTTTAAGGTATTGGGTTTCTCTGAAAAGCTAAACAGTACAATTGAGATGGTTTTAACAAAATCTGTTTTGTTACTACTCTCACTTTGCCTATTAGGCTTAGCTTTCATGAATCCATAGCCTTATTTCTAAATTGAGACTAAAAAGTAAGAAGAAAAACTTTTAAGATAATCTATTTTATCCAACAGCATAATCTAATATAAATACCAATACACATAAGTCACAAAGCATATTTACACATTTTTGTGACCCATTTGTGAAACACCTCGAGTCTCCTTTTGATAGATATTCCTAGAGAATTATAGGATTGAGACATCTTTTACGATATATATAAATTCAATGAGATGTTTCTTTTATATTTAGCAAAATGTGCATTACACAGTAGTGCTTAATATTTTTCTTACTGAGTGGGCCTGACAGTTTAACATTTAAGGTGAGAAAAAATGTGATAATTTAAAAGCAGGCAAATTAAGTAAAGAAAAAACAGAAAATACAGCTTTGCAATAGAATATGCTTAGTAATAAATCTTGAGGTGCCACCAGTTTCAGATCATATGAACTTGGACTGGTCTCCGTGATCCTCATGACTCCTGTTCATGGAGATGTGATTATTGAACCACCAGAGGTCAAAGAATCACACATACACAAGCACACAACCTAAGTACATTTGCTTATAAATGTGATGTGTTATAGATGTTCAGTAGCTCTTTGTTTCCCCAATATTAATGTAAATGAACATCCATTTTTTCCAAATTTGAGCTTAGTTTCCATACCACAGTATTTCTGCCTAACCAAATGTCACTCTTTAATATGTAAATTATGGTAATCCCTCCTTGAATCCTTTTCCTCACAGTATAGCTAATAAACTGGCCCTAAAGGCCTCTCTTTCTCTCTCTCTCTCTCTCTCTCTCTCTCTCTCTCTCTCTCTCTCTCTCTCTCTCTTTCTTGTCTTGTAGGCATTGGGAACATCTCTGGAGGAGCCATCGCTAGAACCCACCACCTTCCTGCTGCACACAGGGCTCAGTACATTCCTACTAATGTCAGTGCTGTTTGGGATGTGGAATAAGGGACAGAAATAGTCACCCCTTCTGCCTCGCAATTTTAGGAGGTTTAGCAGTTCTACAGTTACTGAACACTCCTGCAGTTAGGTTTCAGTACCCTGCCCAGTATACAATGCAGACCTGAAAAATAAATACACTAAGCGACAGAACTAAGAGAGAGAAAGCAGGGTGCCAGGAAGACCAATGCTGGTACAATTGACAAAGGTGCTGGCTGGTCAGTCTCAGGTACTGACTTTTATTGGCAATCAATTAAGGTAAAGGCAAGCTATGTGCAGTTTCTATGGAAATTAATGTAAACAAGGCTCTTAAAGAACAAAACAAAGTATTCTCGAATTAGGAACAAAATAGACAAAATATATGCTTGTAATTAGAACATTGTCCTTCTAGTCAGAAGGTTTTAGTTGTGGGAATGGAATTTGGGTATGACCTTGGCATGGAGGCTTCAACCAGACTCACTTCTATATACAAGCCAATTGTGGGGGTTAACTCTTTACAGCCTGCTTTGGGCATAATCAGTATTATGGTCCTCTGCATTCAGTTCTTTTATTAATCTTCCAAAAGTTAATCCCTTGTGTCCAATAAAATTAGGTCGAGAGGTTACACAGACGTAAAAGACAGACTCCTGAAATTAAGAAGCTCAGAATTATTTGGAAATACACTAAACCTACAGGGCCATGAAAGTGAAAGAAGCCCTGTGAAAGCTGCTCCCAAGCCCACATAACCTGCCATCCCTTGAAATAGATTCTGATCCAGAGCATAGGCTGAAAGTAGGTCATTTGGTTTAGAAGAAAATGAAACTTGTTTTCCTTTTTTTTTTAATTTAGACAAAATAACTCAAAACTGCAACTGCATCTGCAAAACAACCAATTCTGATTGAAAATGCCAGAGAAAATAAATAATCCCACATCTACTTGTCCTTCTAAAGTCAACATAAAATCTTAAAATTGTTCCTCCAAATGGAAGGTGTGCTTACTTCTGAGGTCACACTCAACACCGAACAAAACAAAAATTTGTGAAAATTTATTATGGGGACTTCAACATTCAAAAAAAAACCCAACAGAATAATTTTCAAAGACTATTTTTACAATAAAACACTCATGCCTTCTATGACTATTAAAATATAATATTATAAGCACCCCAGAATAAAGATGACAATAATACTATTCACCCTGCCATTCTTAATTTTAATTCTTACTTTAAGTTACTAATTAACTAAAATTAGTAATAAACTAAGAGGAACAGTCTTGAGTTAGCAATAAACTAAGTAGACAATTTTAATAACAACCCTAGAACAATTTTTCTTTTGAAAAGCTGGGTTAACAAAGAATATCCATGTGCAAAAACTAACATTGGGAACTTATAAGTGCCATTGATTTCAGGGCAAAGAGAACCAGGAAAATCCTGAGAAGGAAAGAGCATTATCAATATCCAAATCTTGATATTTTAAGGGAATTTAGAAAAAATTAAATGAATTTTTCTACACTAAAAGTAACATAAACTAGTACATTGCTATATTTCATTCAAAGTATGAATTTCTAAAGTTACTTTTCACAAATTTTGCTATGTGCTTCTCCTCCTTGCTTTTTCTTACTTGGTAATTTAATGGACACCTTCAACTTATACTAAGGTCAAGGGTGGGGCTAGGAGTAGGAAGAAAGTTTTGTTTTACAACTAAAAGCAAACTCTGACAGGCTGAAGATTGTTTATAATGACAAGATGACACTAACGTTTGTATCTGATTTTTTTTAATGTTTTCATATAGTTTTCAAATCTTGGATAGAGGCTGTTCAGCATAGGGGCTTTAGTGCCCCTGCCACAATTCTCAAATTATGCAACTTTGGCCAAGTGAGGGAACTGAGTTAATTGGGCTGTTACAAAGTATGCCTAGTAACTGGTGCATAATAAACAAATAAATAGATAAAAACTCAGTAAATCAATACAATGTCACTGACAATCTGATTCAGAATGTTATAGGCAAAGGAACTGAGGTTCAGTCTGCGAATCACTTGAGTTGCCATAAATTGAAAAGCTCTCTAAAGTCTTCCCCGCAGATATCCTCATTTCCCCAGGAACAAGAGCGTGCTGGTGATAGGGCTTATCCTTGATCTAATTATTTCTGAATGGGCACTCAAATGTTATTAAACTACCACTGCTCTGGGTATAGGAAAATGACAGGATCATTCACTGGTTACCATTAGTACTTTTCAGTTTTATTCATCAGAAGAGAAAAAGATGTCCTACCCAGATGCTGTCTTCTTGCTTGTACTGCTTCCAATTGCGTCCTGTGTCACTGAACATCAGGCTGTAGCTTGTCACCCAGTCAGAGCTTCCATATCTTCCCTGCGTGGCCACCGCTGTAATCTCTACTCTGTTCCCCAGGTCCATCTGGAGCCACTGTTGAGCATTGGAATTTGCTGGGGACCAACCACCAGTTCCTGGAACAAGATCAGAGAGAGAGAGAGAGAGAGAGAGTGAGAGAGAGAGAGAGAGTGTTACAGCAGTGTCTCACATAGGCAGAACTTTCAGCCATAAAAGATCAGTGAAACAGTTTCAACCAAGATGCCCTTACTCAGAAATGTATCATACTTTTCCCTGTGTCTACACTAGAGACCCTGGTGCTTTCATAACTAAGCTTCCATCCCATTTCTCTTATGGCTTAGGGTTAATTTTAATGCTGACTTCACCATACTTCTTCCTTCTTCTCTCAGTCATCGTGGCTTCCATCTTATGATTACCTAGTGGAATTTCCAATTTAGGAAATTCATGAGGACCTAATGGTTTTGTTTCTTGTCTTTAAACTTTAGCTTTCATTGTAGATAAACACAAACTATCCTTATATCCTATCTTTCTGACTAATTTCCCTTCCTTTTTCCCTTTCCTTCCTTCTTTCATTCCTATCTCTCTTTTCCCTGCTCCTTATCTTTCTCCAAATAGGAACCATGAACCTACCATGGAACAGACATTTTACCATGGATACAAAAATGAAAGGACCCTAAGTCTTTGAGGAGCAGGATTAATTTGTTCCACATTTGTTCACAAGCACCAAGACCATGGTGGGTGCTGAAGAGATAGCAAGATGCAAACAGCTTTGTTCAATAAGACAGGAAAGAATCCCTAACAAGGGATAAACACAAATGGCAACTGGAGTGGAGAGAACAGATTGCCTTAAGGGGAACTGAGAAGGCCTCTGAAAGACAATGACATAAAGCTGAAATCTGAAGCACAGCTAGCCATGTCTGGAAAAAAAGGAGGGAAATTTGGGTAGACATCAACCAGAGCAGAGAGATCAGATATGCAAAACCTCAGAGTCAAGAGGGAAGCCAAGACATTCTGGGATCCACTTATGCCTCAGGGCTCTTGACACAGTGAACCATCCACAAATGCCAAAATCCAAGTTGAGGAATGAGCTCAGGAGCCCATTAGCAGATAAATGCACTAAAACACACAGTGGAATATTATTCAGCCACGGGAAGAGCAGAATTGTGGCATCTGCAGGAAAATGTATGAACCTGGAGATCATCATGTTAAATGAAATAAGCCAGGCACAAAAAATAAAGTATTACATTTTTTTCTTTCATATGTGGAAAATGGAAAAAGATAAAGATGAGTGGAATGTAGAAGGCCAGGTAAGGTAGGGAAAAGGGACTGGGTTGGGAGGAGAGGGCAAGAGAGGACTGTAGGATGGAAACAAAGCATGCTATCTGTGTATGGAAATATCACAGTGAGATTCATTAATTTGAACAATGGATATGCAATAGTAATTATTAAGTTTAAAAAGTATTTTGGTCCCAGGGTTTCATTATTACTCATACTTGGCCATGACAGAAAATAGATATTATCTCTCACTTAATCAGAAAATTTATGATCCAAATTATCTGCTTCCATTTCACAGGAGAAAGAGGGAGTCGAGTCAGTAAAAGTTTTACTGACCTCAGATCACAAATCCTATGATACTTGAGTGAGGAACCATTTCAGGATCAGCCCCTGGATTAGTCATCTTGCTCAGGGCACCAGGTTAGAGAGTTCACTGAAATTTTAATTTAGAATGATGAATTCACTTTTTCAACTTATTTGATTGAGAACCATTTTAGTGATCTTCCGAGTTTACTTTTACCAGCCAGTTGGGGGAGGAGCCACCTGGACCTCTACTTGTTAACTGAATAGCTTTTTCAGCCCCAGCACCCACTGCAGGTCTCTTATCCTACAGGACTGGACGATCAGACATAGGAGACTAAAACATGAATCAAGAGCCCAGCCTGGCCATAATGTACCTATGTGCATTTTACAAAAAATGACTGGTTTCCTCCCTGTAAATAGCCAGTCCGAAGTAGCTTTGTTTGATAGTCTTTCTTTCTCTCTCTTTCTTTCTTTCCTTCCTTCCTTCTTCCTTCCTTCCTTCCTTCCTCCCCCCCTCTTTCTTTTTCTTTCTCTTTTGCAAGAAACAAGATTTAAATGCAAGGAAAGAAAGAAAAGGAAATACACTTAAGATCTACTGTGGAATCTATTTTATTAAGTGTTTTGCAAAATATGCACACAGTGGCAGATACTGCTTATATTCCAATATTCTCTCTTCTTCCCATAGTCACAGTGGTGCATGGCTATTTTAAAGCTTTCCATATTATAGTTACGACAATGCAATTAAGTTCTTTCCAATACAAATGTCCCTGGGGATATAAGCTCTTGCACTTCAAGCCACTGTCCCTAACTCTCACTTGCCTTCTCACTTCATAGCAAGGCCTTGATGATGGCAGAGCCTTGGCAAGGGAAGATCACAGGTCCCAGCAATGTCACAGAAAGGCAAGTATCTGTGCAATTGTAGTATACCTACACTGACCTAGGCTGTGAATAAGACCCAAATAACAGTTGTGCTTAAGCCATCACACATTGGAATTCATCTGATACTGCATTGTAGCCTCTGTCAATCCATCTACAATATGCTGTGAGGTAAACAGCACCATCCCATGTATATGGTTGAAGCAACCCAGATTCAGCAGATTTAGAATATTTGGCAGCCAGGATTCAAACACAATTGGGGGAAATCCAGCTACCAAGATTTCCCTGTAACAGAAAAAAAATATTGTTTTTCTAAAGCTACAGAAAATAAGTAAAGGGAACAAAAGTTATCCAGAAGAGGCATTTGATCACGCTTCTGAGATATCAGTTCCAGAAGCGCACGTTTCTTGTCACCTGTGTTCCTTGATATGTCACCATTCCCAGTCACCTCCCTCATTTCCTGCATCATTTCAGCAATATTAAAATATGATAGAAAATAAACTTACAATCTGATGTTTTTCTGAATAAAATATGAATGATTTTGTATTTTTATGCTTTCTGCATGTAACACATTTTCTTCCAATATGCCTTTCATGTGCAAATTTAGAATCTTATTACTCATATATGATTTACTACAAAAAGAATATATACAGCAATAAATAAATGAATATATAGAGGAATTTTAGAGCTTGTGGTATAATATAGGACTTTTGCCTTTCTGAGTGTCTATCACTATTTTTGAAATTAAAATCTTCATCACTTAAGCTATATGTCTTTTAATCTAAATAGTCTCCAATTCGACTTCCTAGTCATGCTCTAAAGCTTTTCCTTTATTCATTATAATTACCATGTAATAACAATCTATATTAAGGATAGAAAATAAAAAATGAAATGGTATGACATTTCCCTTGCAAAAAATAAAAATCCCTAAAAACCTGATCCAAACACAAATATAACTAAACCAAACCAAAGTAAAGCCAAAAAAAGAGGATATTTAGTGCTAAAATGATTTCTTCAAATTTGTCTAAAGAAAATCACATCTTTCTTTTGCCCCCTGCAAAAACCTCAGCTTATTAATCCTCCTAAAGTTAACCAAAATGAAATAGCTGCCTTAGCATTCATTAACACATCAAGTTAAGAATGTTCTGAACACCAGAGTTTCAACTTCTGCTCTTAGAATGGAGAGCCACTCCCTGGGTGCTAATTGCTTAGGACTATTTCCCTGCTGTTGAAGATGCTCCCTGAATTACAGCTAATAGGCTAGACACCCAGGATTGCCATGGTTGCCATGGGAAACATTTTGTTCCTTCCACCAAACCATAAAAGTGTTTTCACAAATTATGAGAGTGGCCTAAAGATATTATTTGTAGTTTATCTAAAGGCACTGCATACATACTAGTTCCAGCTTTTGAATTATTTCTACATTGAAGATGAAACATTTGCACAAATATGGGTATTATCTGTTATTATGACTGTAGTCTCAATGACTATGAAATATAATCTTTCCTATAAACCTTGCAGTTTACGTGTAAGAATATTTGATAGAAATATAAATTATAGGAAAATTTTAAATTTAAAGGAAAAATCATCTCACCTTAGATTTTTATACCATTCAGATTTTTTCCATAGTCCTTCAAACACAGGCTCACAGGATTTCTGACTTAGTTTATGTCTAGCACACCTCAAACCCATTCCACTATGTACTATACTATTTGGCGGTTAGGGAAAATGCTGGGTGGTAAGTGAGGCAACCTGGCTTCAGACCTAGTTCTGGTCCTGCTGTTAGAGTAGATGAGACTTTCTCAGATGCACTCAAACACACAGCTGGAGCAGCTTTGCTGAGATCATACAACAAGCCATGGCCAAGCAGGAATTCAGGTTCAGGAAAGCTGAGTCCTCACCAGATTTCTTCACTCTGCTACACAGGGCTGCTGGACAACACTGACCCACCTCTGTCACAACCCTACTGCTTCCTCCTCATGACAGCCACTCTCACTAGAGCCACAGTTCACACTTCAAGTTGCTTTTCAGAATCCCACTGGTTTCCCATGGGCATCAACAATGGTATTTTTTACTTCTACTTGTTAGGGAACAAAACAACTTCAAAGGGCCAACTAGCCAATCTGGGTTACATGGCTGGAGACTACACTTGAATCCAATTCTTCTGATGTCTAGCTCCTTCCTAAAGTTTCAACAGGGACTAAAGTCTTACACAAACAAGAAAAGATTCCTATGGAGAATTCTAAACAAGCTTTAAAGTAACACAGGAAACCAGCTCTTATAACTCTGCCCAACCTCCCACTCAGTCTTCTATGACAGTGTGCTTATTCCTAACCCTGGGTTTGAAACCTCAGATGACAGCAGAGGTTCAAAACATGAAACAGAATAATTGCTAGAAAAATGCAGAAACCCCTCATTTTCTACACTAATTTCTACTTCTAATTCTGAAAGGGACATGAGAATTGAGGTCACACATTGAAAATAGACACAAAGCATTATATACAGGTCTCTGCAAAGAGATTTTTCACAATTATCATTCCAATCACATTTAGGCACGAACCTTGGCCATTTAATTTTAATCCCCAATATAAACCCAATAAGCCACAATTTTCCCCTCCCATTTTATGCAAGGCCCTATGAAGCTACAAGCACATTGTCACAA